AGGTGAGTACGTCGCACTTCAAAAACTTGCCCATGTCACAAGAAAAAAAGAAATAGACAAGAAGAGAGAATTACCTATGAAGTTTATGTTAACCCAGAGAAAAAAAGAAATGGACAAGAAGGGAGAATTGCCCATGAAGAATACTAAGGTTTTATGCTAACATCCATGAAAGCAACCAAATATTGAACAACTAGATTGTATGCTATAAGACCATTCGCTTTTCATACAAGGATGTATCAAACACATTTGGCTATCATATACCATATCCAACAGCTTACAGTGTGCCACATGGTTTAAAAATTTTTATTTTTGGCATTGTGCCCGGTCAATGACATACCCCAACCACCCGATTTCACATCTAACAGACAATGATGATTTTATCTTCCTTGCATCAAAATAAAATGTTCTTATTGTATACATTTTCCTCGAACAACAGCAAGGAAGATGTTATGGTACTATCCAAACTTTCATATTAGTTAGGTAGAAAAAGAAAAATAAGGGTAAAAAGCAATCAAAGCATTCAAATTGATGTAAAAACCGAGGCATATATATTTCCAGACACCCAAATGTACAGTAAGGATGGATAAACACAATTCCTACTCACGTGTGTGCATGTGTGTGTGAGAGAGAGAGAAAGAGGGATGCATGATAAACACACGTGTGTGCATGTGTGTGTGAGAGAGAGAGAAAGAGGGATGCATGATAAACACAGGATGATAAGCACAACTAACATGCTGAGGAGGATGGAAACCAACTGCGTTCAGCAGTGAATTGCGCAATCATATACATCTCTCAGATTCCGACCACAGAAAGAGCATGTCTATAAGAAACCTCCAAAGAAATGCGAGATATGAATAGAAGCAGTGCTAATTACCGAGTTTGCCACAAAATCTTGGAAAGGGAATCGAATCTCTAACATTAGCAAGGCCAGTGGCAAAGAGCACCATCTGCTCAAACCCAAGACTGAATCCACTGTGTTTCACGGTGCCATGCTTCCGAAGGTCCAGATACCACTCATATGGATCCCTTGGGAAACCCAGCTCTTGAATCCTACACAAAAATGTCTCCATAATCCCAGATGCCACCTTTGAACTAACAAGCAAAAACAGAATAGAGACAAATAGTGGTAGAAGATGTATCTCTCAATGGATGTCTCAATTTTTCTGAAATTCAAAGGAGATTGTCTTCCATACAAATTTGCAATTTTGATCATTCAAAAATGGCACCAAAAAGTAGAAGCAGCGAACAATCCTACAACCTTTCAGGAGTCATTGCAGTTTACTTCTCTGCACAATTTAAGGGAACATGTAATCCTGGTATGGATCATGTTAAAATAGAATGGAACATCTTTTAAATCAGTGTTTTGGAATTCACCTCGGGCCAGGCACTCAGCCCTGGCCCGAGGCAAATTCAAGTGGACTCATCATCCGGTACAGTGCCAAAGCCCTAGAAAAAAAATAAATAAATAATGAAAAATAAAATAAAGGTAGTAAAAAGTAAAATAAAATCGAAAACAACCTTAAGAAGTCCAAATAAGCTTTAAAAAGTAAGGATTCAAAAAATTGATTTATAATTGGGGACGTTTTTTAAAAAATCCAAAAAGAGAAAATACATAAATAAGGATTATGGCGAAAAACATTCACCAATCTTTACCAAGAAATCCAAATTGTACAAAAAAACTTATATTGAGTTTTTTATTTATTTATGTACCTGATTTGTACATACAACTCGGGGCTACTCGGCCTCCCCCATAGGGCAAGGCTGAGTAATTAAGCCTAATTCAAGTGAACTCGGCTGAGTCCCCTAACAATGCTTTAAATTATTAAAGTATTTCAATACTGAACTAGAAACATCAGAATTAAAGCAGTGTTCAAAAAATCGACTTGGCCATGGTAGTAATCAGGCCTTGGCAGGGGCGAGTTACTCGAGCGAGTCCAAGTAACTCGCCCAAGTTCAAATCAATTTTTAAAAACCAATATAAAAACAAAAATACTGGTATATATAATATAGCATCCCACATCTTTAACAAACGTTGAATGGTGTGCAGGTTACACAGCCTTTTGTGAGACGTCCTAAGCTTGATTCTAGTGGGCACATATTTTTTGCATCTCCTTTTACATTTTTGCATCTCCTTTTACATTTTACATATTCTAGGGGACACATATTTTTGCATCTCCTTTTACACTAAAAAAAAAAAGGCCCGCACCTAGAGTTTACAAATGAATGCAACCTTTCCTCAAGAGGAATCGAACCCCATAAGTGATGGAAGATGCACGTACACTCTAGCCAAGGTGCCACTTATACATTTTTTGGACTTAAAATGAACAAATTAATATATATATATATATATAAAAACATGGTGAACAATGTGCTTGACCAAAAATTGCTCCGCCCATAGTGCGAGGCTGAGTAACTCGGCCGAGTCCAACTGACCTCAGCTGAATCTCAAACACTCCTTTAAAGTTTAACATGTCTTCATTCTATTTAACTCCATAACAATTCAATTGGAAAAATGATGAGTAGTTATTTTTTAATAAATAACAGCTATCTTCAATTGTGCCTAAGATGGAAATAATGAAACTGATATAATGGGTTTTCATTAAATTTTTTGTTTTACTATTGGAAAAAGTTTATATAAGTGCGAGGCTCTAAACAATCAAATTAGAGCACACCTAAAAAGTTTCACTAAAAGAGGTTGTTTTGATGCCTAAATATCTTCAAATTATCATCTCGACCTCAAAATGCATGGACATGAGAAAAAAAATGGATTTTAAGTTTTGGAAATAGCGCATTCTGTAATGCAATTTTAGACTGTCAATTTTCAAAATTTTCAAGTTTTCATAGATCTACTTGAACTACATTGTTTTTGAAGCTTTAAATTTTATAATTAGAGATGAAAATATATTTTAATGCTATCACAAAAATTTTCAGTATTGAAACGACATTTCTCGATACTATTTGAAGGTGAGCTTTACTTTGATTGTTTAGAGCCTTGGCTCTATACAACCGCACCCTTTACTATTTTCTAGATTTCATTTTGGATTTATTTTAGGCTTATGTTTTCTTTAGGAGTATTTGTGTTTTTTCTTTTTTTTTAATTGTAGAGATTTGAAGGGCAAAATTAGAAGATTTAATATTGATTAAGTTCTTAGGAAGCAAGTTAGGATTTAGGGTTTTTTTCATCTATAATTATGTAACTATTGGATCAGAAAAAAGGAGATAAGAGGAGAAGAATTTATTTTGGGTCTTGTGAAGAGATCTTTTGGGGGTGGATTCTCTAGCAAACCATAAGCGATGATATATTCTCTCATTCTTTATTTTTATCTTTTATTTTCTGATTTCATTATTTTGTTTCCCCACTTGTCTGCATTAATGGGTATCAGAGCACGTGGTTCCATCAATCACAATGCCACCAAAACTCGCTCTCACGATTGAGGAAAAATTGCCACAAGTCATAAAGGTTGTGAATCAAAAAATAAAAGAGAGCATGAATTTACAAATTAAAGAGAGCATAAATCAATGGTTGCACCAATTAGAAAATACCGTTCATTGATAAAACAGGTCCTGATTCACGTTCAAAAACATCAGAACTCGCCTCAGTCTCACAAGATCCAAGACCCTAATGTGTTATTTTGACACAAACATGGGTTAGTCAAGTTCAAACTGAGCCTAACCAGATTGGCTGAATTGGAATCAGGGCCCTAGTGAGTCCAAGCCACAGTCTATATTTTTAATCACTGATTGGAACATTTAGCTTGCAACTATTGTCCAGAAATGCACACATCCACGAATAAAGAACATGTACAAAATAAAAAGCATGCCGTTACAAAAGCTCTTTGCTGATCATTTTACTTTACCAAAGTCCATTATTCCCCAATAGATCATTGACTTTAATATGGAAAAATTGACAACTAGAAAATAACAAAAAATTGAGTATGAAGGTCTCTGGGATGAGGCATTATTTTTTCTGAATACGTGTGGATTTACTCAAAAACTTCTGAATAAAATCATCAATATTGTGGAATTTGAATAGCTTCTAACACATTATGAGAACATTCCAGCTGAGTAAAAGAACATATCCATGGTTACTAAGATGTCATAAGCAGAAGTGAAGAAAAGGGCAATGAAAAGGAAAGGCAATTACAGTACCTCTTATCCATAATATCAAAACGCTCCTCCCTTTGACTTCCTCTAATCAAGGCACCAACCTAAAAAATGAAAATCAACATCCCATGATATTAAGATTCTGCAAATGTAGAGCCATTGGTCTAAAAGGGCAATCTTTCCTGGTATCATAAAGAAAAACAATTGTTCCTGAAAGCTAGTCTGGAAGGACTTTTATTCGCGAAGGATGGAGTGGCTTCATAATGGAGAAAGGTGGTTTTAGGCCATTGAGATGCTTTCTTGATAAATTTGACCATGTTCCTTGCAGAGTCTCTCCTATCGTGGATATACTTAGTTTCCATTTCATAGTGATGTTATCTATCAACCGAAAAACATTCCCTACCCTAGCAGCTACGATTAAGAGTACTATAACCATAGCCAGAACAATTGTTATTTTTAAGAATGCTATAACCCTATCCAGAACAATTGTTATTTTTGGAAACTTCGTGTGCATTTGTTTATAACTACAGCCTCTTGATATCCATCAATCTGGGTTCTTCCATGGGAAAGGAACAGGTATTGTGTCTTTTCCTGGATGCCTGTTTTCTTCAAAACTTTCAACGCAATATTTGTTTATCCATCTGACATGGAAAGTATAGTCATGGAATCCATGAATTTGTGTTTCGATTATTAAAAATTAAACAGGAAAAGCCTTCACATTAACAAACTATTTCTTTTCAAAAGTAGATAGTTAGCAATAGTTTGAGTAGACCATATAGAATATGAGTATACGACTTAAAGTATAAGTTCAGAAATATCAAAATATGAACAAAATAATAGAATTCATAATTTAAAAAATAAAAAAAATGGGGTCAAGGTTTAAGCCCCAGGCTACCAACAATATAGCCACCATCACTGCCCCAAGGTACAAGTTTTGTGCAAACTGGTGGCAATTTACCTTAGGTACAATAACATCAATTGCTGCGACTGTTCTCCTGTCATCATTTAGACGCACATAAAATGGTTTAATATCTTTTGGATGATTGCATATAATGATGGGTCTTTTGTAAACATCATCAGACAGATATCTGCAAGCAAAATAAGAACTGCCAAACATTGAAGAAAACAAGAGTTGCAAACCAAAGTCATTATGCTCATGGAGTCAAATCAGTATCTAGAACCAGCAAGTATAATGAGCACAGCTCAAATCATTTTAATTTGCAGAGGCATACCTCTCATGTTCTTCAGTTAAGCATACTCCCCACTCAATATTTGATTGAAAAGGTTTCTCTGCAACCTTGTTGATCATATCAAAGAATGATCAAATTCATGCAGATTTCAGACCACAAAATAATTCGTTAGAAATATAAGTTGCCAAGTACCTTCAGAAGCTCAACTGCTTTTGTATATGTGATCCTTTCAAATGAACTGGATGCCACCAAACGTAGGCGATCGAAAATGTTCTTGTCGATCAGTTTTGACATCAGTTTCATGTCTTCCAAACAGTTGTCAATTAGCCATTGGCAAAGAAACTTCACGTAGTCTTCCGCACAGTTCATGGCATCCTGATAGTGTCATAAAAAAAACATTAAGCAACATCTTCAGAGAGTATTTGTCACTAACAAGATTTAACATCCAATATCCAAGAACTGGATTATCAACTTTGCTGACAATATTGAGTTTCGGGAAAACAAAGTAAATAAATTGAAAAATCTCCAACAAAATGTATGAAAGGAATGCCATGCTACAATGAATACATCAAAACAAATGTTACGTTAAAAATAATGGGATGAAGACCTGAGCATTAGGTATTGCGATGTCTTCCTGCAAGTATATTGCATATACTTTATCACATTTAATTAGGCTTAAAGATATAATTCAAGGATCCTCCTACAAACTTCATGCATGAAGATTTGGTAGTGCTTCCAAAGACAACAATGCTGCAGCTGGGATGGAGTATTTTGGAAATACAGGACACTAGTGGTCAAGTTCCACTGTAACTTCATAATTTCTTGGGAAGGGAAGCAGCGACTAGATGGAACTTAAGGCACATCATGCCAATCTAACTTTGTGCAAGAAGGAAAATTCAGTGCCTTATAATGAATGGCACTTGACATTCTGCAAGGACCAGCTGAAAGATCAATTACCTGCTACCCCCACCCCCACCCCAGCCCTTCCCCCATGGGGCCTGGGATCATACATTTAAACATGAAGGAGAAGTTGAAATAATCCGCATGGATAATCAGCCACACACACCACAAAAACCAACATGCAAGGGTCCAAAGAACTGGGTTTACTATCATGGTCACAAATCAATCCCATTGACTCAGAACAGAATGTGTAGCAGATGAATATAATGGTCTCAGCAGTCCCAGTTCAGATTTAGATACGTTCTTTCAGTTTTTGCTGCTCACCACGTCAGTGATTCCCTGCCTCAGTACATGGGGATAGGGTGTCTGCCAGTCTACCCCGGTTTCTTTGTACCATCAGGCCCTCAAACTTGAGATGGAAATCTCCTTTTATGTACTCCATTTCAGATTAGTTCAACAAAATCAATGGTTTCACCAGCAAAACTAAACATTATCTTACAATCATCATCATCATTTTAGCCTTTTCCCAATTAATTGGGGTCGGCTACATGAATCCTAGTTCTCCATTCTGCTATATTAAAGGTCATATTCTCAGTGTGGCCATAAGTCCCCATATCTTTTCGGACTACTTCCAACCGCATCCTTTTAAGCCTACCCCTTGCCATTTTCAGCCCTTAATATTATCTTACAATTTTTTTGCAAAATTATGAAGCCTCAAGTTTTTCATTTAATAACAAAGGCATAAAGAAAAGGGAAAAGTTTATATAGAGCCGAGGCTCTAAACAATCAAATTAGAGCCCACCTCAAATTTTCACTAGAAGATGTTGTTTTGATGCCCAAATATCCTCAAATTGATCGTCTTGACATCAAGATGCATGGACATGAAAAAGAAAAGAATTCAAGTTTTAAAAATAGTGCATCTTATAACACATTTTTTGGACCATCAATTTTCAAGATTTTCAAGTTTTCATAGATCATCTTAATCTACACTATTTTTTAAGCTTTAAATTTTATAATTAAAGATGAAAATATATTTTAAAGTTATCAGAAAGATTTCCAGTATTGAAACCACATTCTCGACACTATTTGAAGGTGGGCTTCAATTTAATTATTTAGAGCCTCCGCTCCATACAAACCGCACCCTAAAGAAAATGACAAAAATCACCAATATCTTCTTCAATTACAGATTTTTAGTATTATTACTTATATACATAAGGCATTCCAGATTTATAGCCAAATAAAGATATTACATTTAATGTCACTATTTTGAATAGGTGTGTTCTTATCTCTGGTTGAAAGGTTTCTGTGGAATTGTCTCTGACTGAAACGATATTTAAAAATTTTAGCCCTTTGCCCAAGTCATATGCCACGATCCCAATGGGAGCTACCATGAAACTTACTAGTATTAAGTTGTCAATCTATTTACCTGCGATTCAGGCTTTAATCCAACACTTATTTTAATAAAAAAGGGAAATCCCAATGGTAGATTTTTCCCTTCTTTCTAACGATATAAAATTTAATCAACTTGGAGGAAAAGTCTAACACATGCCCCACAAAGAGACAGGTACAGAAAATTATCATTGCCACATATATAGCATATAATAATAATTAGAATATGAATAAAAATTACGAATGCACTGAGAAGTTCATCCACAGTACAACAAAAATGCAAAATTTAATTTGCTAATCAAGGTATAAGCCATGGCCAGATGCGGCATACTCAATTAAATAAACTCCAGATAACAGATTTAGTATGAGAAGGCCATGCATAGTAAGCTAACACGAACTCAAACAACTCATACCTCTAATTCTGCAAAAGCCATTTCTGGCTCTACCATCCAAAACTCAGCTAAATGCCTCGTAGATTCAGATTTTTCAGCACGAAAAGTAGGCCCAAATGTATAAACATTTCCGAGGGCGCATGCATAGCTCTCCAGATGAAGCTGACCAGATACAGTTAAATATGCCTGACGAGAAAAGAAATCTCTAGAAAAGTCAATCTTATAAAGTTTATATGCAGTTCCAGATTCTGACTTGAGACGTTCTTCCATTTGTGATGCCAACTGTTTTGTCTTTTTGAGATCTTGTTCTGCAGCATACCATGCTTCCTTATTGCTGTTACTTCTTTTTAACTCCTCAATCCTATCACTCTTCTCCTTGATGGCAGCCCTTGCAACTTTAAGATTAGCCTCCTCATGTTGTCTCACTACTTCTAGCTCCTCAATTCTATCTGCTTCACTGAATAAATTTGTAACTTGAAACATCTCACAAGTGCCTCTAGCATTACTAGTAGTGATAATGGGAGTGTGCACATATAGGAACCCATGATTCTGAAAGAATGTATGGGTTGCATAAGCGAGAGAATTGCGTATTCGAGTAACAGAGGCAATCTGCAAGGCAGTGGATAGAAATCTGTTAATGAATATACATTCAATTCTACAAAAGGCAGAAAGATGGAGACTTTGAATTAAACATTGAACGATTAATATATCGCTTCTATCAATGTAGGCTAGGATTAAGATTTCTTGACTTATTTAAGATAAATGATAACATTAGGTTCCTTCGTTTCAACAATATTTACATAATGAAAATTATATGTTTCTAGTACTAAGTCGCTTGTAGGTTTTAAATGACTAACAAAACTTTAGAAACACAAGCACTTGGATGTACGTATGTCATCATCATCATCATCAACGCCAAAGCCTTTTCCCAACTAATTGAGGGTGGCTACACAAATTCTAATCCACCCTTCTGCTCTATTAAGGGCCATAACCTCAGTGAGGCCATAACCTCAGTGAGGCCATAAGTCCTCACTACTTCCAACCAGGTCCTTTTGGGCCTACCCCGTGCCCTTTTCTAGCGATCCACTTAAACTAACTTGCACCTCCTAACAGGTGTTGTACTAGGTCTGCACCACACATCGCCAGCCCACTTAAGTCGACTTTAGCTCATCTTATCGCCAATTGGTGCCACATTCAAGTATGTGCTTACATAAATACATAAAAAGACACATTCATATTATTTTGTCATAAAATATAGACAAGTTCTTTATTGCATATGAAAAATCCAAGGTAGATCACCACCTGCCCTAGGCAATCCTAGTGGCAGAATGATCTCCAAAAATTTTAACCATAAAATACCCTTACAAATATAAAAATTACACTAACAATAACTTGTTCGAAAATTTCAAAAAGGGTATACTGGTTATTTGAAATTGCATTCAAAATTGGAAAAAATTATATAAGGTTACAAATTTACTTATAGAAGTAAGGTTGTAGTAGTATAAACCGTCCATTTTATTTAAATGGTGCAGAACTGTGCAAATAGCCTCTACTAATAAGATTGCCAACTTATAAACCGCACCATTTAAAATTGAATCACTATATGAAAAGTCAAAGGAATCTTTTCAAATTTCCAATTGAGTTTTGAGAGAATCTTAAACAAACAAAAATACCCTTCCTAAAGTAAATGAACTATTATATTCAAAAATAAGTGTTGAATATATTTAGAGTATTTTATGGTAAACAAATTTGGAGTAGGAAATTCCAAGTTCACCATTAGTGTGCATTCTAGAACAAATGATAGATATACGTATGTTGAAAAAGCTACCAATAGGTTGTCACCTAAAATGAATAGTAAGTACAGTTATACTCCGAGACATCATATCTTGATCGAATGGTTGAGTATACATGTTACTATTTGAATTTTAATATTTTATTTTGCAAATTAAATTAAGCTAAAATTTTCGGCATATCCACTTGACACCATCATACACTAGCCCAAATGCAAAGCAAATATTCAAAAAGAAAAAAAACCCTAAAATGACCAAAATACCTCTGACATATTCCAGGGGTGCTCTGGTCATTTTAAATTTTGGAAAATATATTTTATAATTCTTTTATGCTCCTACATATATATATCATACATGCTTAAAATTTCAGCTTGATCCAATTTGTAAAAGGAAAAGGATTAAAATTCAAATAGTAACATACACTCTCAACCGCCTGATCAAATTTGATGTCTGGAAGCATAACCAAACTACTATTAGTTGTGACAGCATATTTGGGGGGGGGGGGAGGAGAGAGATCTCTAACTTAGACCAGCAAAATGGGGCATACTAGCTTACCGTATTCGTTCGGGGCCGGATGTGTGAATAACTCCTTAGGAAATCTAAGGGCAATTTAGTCTTTGTTATTGGATACTTGGTAGAATCAACAGTCCCAACATGGAAAATTTTCTCCACTTTAAGCTCTATACTGCGCTTTGAAGAAGTAGATGACTGCCTTAGCACACCTTCGGCTAAAATAGATGTTCCAATGGGTATAACTTGGCCGGGTGGTGTTATGGAAGCTTCAACCACCACCTACAAACAAAATTAAAATTTATTACCTCATTATCTATCTGTCATCATGACCTCAATCATTAAAAACGAAAATTAAGGACCCGTGCATGATTAATTAAATGAGATCTTCATTATTTTTCATTAGATTTCTCATTTTATCTTAAAAATTTAATAAAGGGTCATAGTAAGTTTAGCTTGACAACAAAACATTAAGTCAGTTCCGTAGTAATTCTCTCTAGGTGTTTTGTTCTTAGATATTAGAAAGCATTACAGACAGCAACAACATCTTTCTGTCAATATTGTTCAGGATGAAACCAGCAAAAAGTGCCTAAGTCATTAGAACCAGTACTAGGATTGGACCAACCACTAAACTGGTGAGGGGTCTAGTCCAGTCAAAGCAGGTCCAACTGCCGGTCGAATTGGTTGGACTGAATTTTTAAAAGAAAAAAACAAATATAGCCAGTTTAACGAATCAAAAATATATGGTCTGACCAGCCAAAACTGGTAAAATAGTGATTTCGACAAGTTTTAGATTAGTCCAATTTTTGCGTTAGATAGGACCAGTAGAGCCCAGTAAATGGGTCCAACCGGATGGGCCTCCTAGTCCTGGTCTTGATAACTATGACTAAAACTCCTTAGCAGCAACTCCCATTATCTTTGGAATTCATAAAGCGATTTCAAGCATGTATACTATTATTGCCAATCACAAAACAAAGTTGTAAGGTGCATTTAAAAGAGAAAGTTTAGTATAAAGAAGATATCAAGATTTGGGTTGGCTCGGTGGTTAAAGCAAAATGGCCATTTTCCATGTTTCAAATCCACTTACCATCGAAATTGGAAAATAAGAACCAAACGAGATTGAGGGAATACTTGGCAATTACAATAAACAGATCATATTAAAACCAGAATACTTAAACCACTTCTAATGGAAAATTGTTGAAGGTAAGCTTTTGAATACTCGAAGTCAAAGGTAGATAAGATCCAGATTCCATGACTTAAACAATAGGAAATGTATGCAAGCTGCAGATGTTATGTCCATGAAATACTCGAAACGCATGTCAGCAAAGAGGAAGATGTAGCATGGATATGTGTTCGGTGTTCCCACAAGACAAACCCAAAAAATATATAAAAAAAAGAAAAAGCTACTCCCCTAGCTATATTAGTTTACAAAATTCTTCTGAAAGACTAAAATTTTATCATCAACAACAGTTAATCAATCAAGCCAGTTACCCTTGCAATTCTATTTTTCTTTTTCAGGTTGGGTGGACTACCTGTGTATGTCAAGTCCAAGCCAAAACCCAAGGGTTAATGAGAGAACATTAGATCGCTGCATGCATCCAGTAAATAAGTCGTGCACATGATCTTAAACACAAAAAAAATACAAACTTTAAACATTTTTTGGATAGATACATTTTCAGACTAACTATATTACATGCAACCGAAACAAATGTAAGGCAAAAAACCAGTTCTTGTACCTGGAGACTTGAAGCACAAGAACCATCATTTACTTGCAACTGAGCAACACGTGGGACACTTTTTGTTGGCACAACACTATCTTGTTTCGATCCAACGCCATTAACATTATTAAAGGCAAGAGGGATATTACCTCCCACGTCAAGCCTAAGGATAGAACGCAAACAGTTGGGTATGCTTTGCTGAATGTTCTGAACACAAGTTAGGTCTTTGAAGGGGGAAGGAGGAGCAGGAGAAGGATCAGGAGCAGTTTTAAGCCACCCAACATGTGCTTCTCTACCGGATTTCACCCAACCCCCGATCACGACTCTCGACCCAACTAAACCTAGCCCTCCATCACTGCGACCAAGAATTGACCTCAAAACTACCCGTTTTGAGTACTTGGACCAATCGACTTTGGGCACATTAGGAACTTCACCAGTTTCAATAGTACGACCAGATGGTGTTAGGGTTAGGAGGCCCTGTTGATTAACCACCCCTTGTTCTGATGCCATATTACTCAAAGAGAAGAAAATGCTAAGCTTCGAAAATGAAGTAAAACAGCATCACTTTTTCCTCAGACACACACACACACACAACTTTTAAATTCAAAAGATGCCTGCCTCTGATGCTATAATCCTCACTGAAAAATGAGAAAAACAGCCAGGGCAATGGAGTACCAATACGAACCAGGTTTGTGGGGGAAGAGGGACTGCTCAACTATCAAGAAACAAGGTAAGAACCATGTCAAGAATTTAATTTTCTGTTTACCCGAAAGGAAAATAAAAGAGATAAGTAGAGAGAAGCAGAAAAAAATCAGAACTCGAACTTGTTTCCTCTTTATATTGGTTTCACAGTCACTATTTTCACCAAAAACCAAGAAGCAAGGTAACAGAGAAGGGTTTGCAGGTATAAATACAACAGAGACCAACAAATAATAACAAAACAATTGCAGGCATCAATGTTTGAATCCAATGAAGCAAGTTAGACGGTGGAGAAGCGAGCTTAGAAGGGGGTGGGTATGAGATACCTTCACTCACCTGAAAGAGAATCCATTTGCATTCTTATCTGAGAGAAAGAGAAAGAGGGAATATTTGTTGAGAAAGTAGGAAAAGGGAAAGAAAGGGATGATGGTCGTATTCATGGTCGATGCATTCCTTGATAAATCACAAGTGAAAGCAAGAGCAGATAGCGTCGAATATTGGGAGGTGGAGCTCAAGTTGACATCTGCGGAAGCCATCATACTGAATCCAATTCTTGGTGTTGTTTGGTTAGGTAGTAGTAGTACACAGTCGAGCGCTGCGATTCGAAACTTGAGGGGCGTTGCTTCTGTTATCAGCAGCAACACAAGCAAAGACAAGAAGCCCATTCGTGCGTCTTTTTTATTTTATTATTATTATTTTTTTATAATCCAGTTGGGGAAGACCTACCCCTCCCCGCCCATTTCTTTTGAATAGATTAGGGAGTTACATTTGTTGAAGGTATTAATTTGGGGTGGTAATTGTAGGAATGAAAACCACGTTGTGTTAATTGGGTATAGGATGCTACCACCACGACCGCAACCCCTTTCCTACCCATTCCTGTGTCCCTCACAAATCAAGGACTTGCGCTCGGCAAGGTCCTCAGGTGCTAGTCCTCAGGTGCTAGACGTTTGTTTTTGGGAATATTGTAGATACCGTTGATTTACTTTCTAGTCATTGGCCCTCTAATACTGTATGGAGTTGCATGCAACAAAGACCTTGTATCAAAAATAATTTTAATTTTAAATTTTGTCTGTTAGCTAAAAACGTGACAACCTTGTATCAGAAATAAATAGGTACGGTTTGTATAGAATCGAGGCTCAAAATAATCAAAGTAAAATGTACCTTCAAATACTATCAAGAAATGTGGTTTATGTTAGGTTTATGTGGTCATTAAACGCCTTATGAGAGCTTGTATAAGCATTTTATATAGTGAAACATAAACTCAGTGGGAGTGTGGTTATGTGTTGACCATACCAAGCAAATGATGTTTGCTGGTATCGAATTGAGCTTGATGTGCGAGGCCAGTAAGTTGGGAAAAACACATGTTACTTGAGCATAGAAATTTAAGTAATAAGGGTTATAATGGTCATCCCTTGATGAGATATGAGTGAGCGGAGAGACTGTGTAACTCGTGTGTGTAATGGTGACTCTAAGAGACGGGGCCAAAGCCTCATCCGTGTACCATCACACGGTATGTACATATGATTGTCGTATCAAAAAAACAAACCACCTTTCAGGATGAAGCATGTGCATGTACGAGAGATTACCCTATGCATCATAGAGTTGTGATTGTATCAGGTCTAGGTGACATTCTTTCATCTTTACGGGAGAACCTGAAATCCACATATTGAGATTACGTCCCCTTAATCATTAGCTAACTTTTGTAGTCAAATCATAAGCCCTTGCGATAAACTGTTGGTCATGGGAACCGCTAGGTCAGTTTGAGAAAGTGTGATTTCGTCCCCTTAGTCATTAACTGACTTTGCTGCGCCAATCATGAGCCCCTACGATAAATTATTGGTCATGGGAACCGCTGGGTCAGTTTGAGAAAGCATGAGTGGATCGTAGTGCATAATAGAAGGTGGAATGCTCCATTGTTTTGATTATTCCTAGACCATTTAGATCCAATTCCCATCAATAGTGTTTAATTTATAATTGTTTTGATGTTATTTGATAATTAAAATTATTATTTGAATTTTTCTGAATCTATAGGTATTTTATTTATGTAATTTGGATTTATAAAACTAGAGATATTGAATTTCCATTGTTTTAAATATTCAATTGGAATTAATCAATTTTAAAAATCATTATTTAATTTTAAAAATAATTTATTGCTGCAAGGGGGCCTATTAGTACATATGGGCCCATCATAGCATGTTGGTGGGCTCCATGGGAACTCACCTAGGGTGGCACGCCCCACCTATTTGCAAACCTTCCTTTTATGTGTGCTCAAACAAGGTGGCTTAAGGCTTGTGTTTTAGAAAGATTTGATTTTATGAAGGTTTTGAAATCAAACAAAGAAAGTATGAAGAGGCTTGTGCATCATAAATAGAAAGCACAATATCATTATTAATATTTCATATTTAATTTAATTGATGGAAAATTGGTTTAGGAAATTGAGGATAAAGATTTTAGCACCTTCTATAAGATATTGATGGCTAATCTATAGAATGGATGGCTCACATCTCTAACCTTACAAATCACCAAAAATCAATAGTGCAAATTCAATATCACTAAAGTAGCAAACCATATGGAAACCCTAAAAACTCTATTCTCTTTGAAGCACTATATAAATGGGGGCTTTCTACCTGTTTAAAAACACATGATCTCTCTCTTCTCTCTCCCATAACTCTCATAGAGGGGTACGCCCCACATAGTACGAAATCTCTCTCTCCCATAAGAAGTACACCCCACATAATAGAAGCTATCTCTCTCATCCAAAGGGGCATGCTCCACCTTGCTTGGTTAAGATCTCCCACCTCTCAAGGCCTATGGGTTAAGGGATTATTGTTGAGAACCACATCTCTATCATTAGGTGCTTAAAGGGTTAAGGTATTAGTTTGGTGACTCGATAAGCTCAGTTAAAGTAATATTTGGCATCCTATTTATTAGTTTTTGTCATATTTATTGTTTTTATCTTTTATTATTCCCAAACTTAGTGTCATCGTTTTGATTGATTAATGAAAGAGTGGTTTAGTGGCGTCAAGTTTTAGATCCAATTTTTACTTTTTTTATTTTTTTCAAGTTAATTTATTGTAATGGACTATTTGTAAGTGGTCTAGCAAGGAAAAAAGAAAAGAAAAAGAGAAGAAAGAAAATAAAAAAAAAAGAAAAAAGAATATATGCACCGAACTAGATCACATAAGTCTAACTTTCAGTTTCAATACTGGAAATTTTGTGATAGCCTTAAAATATTTTTTAATCTTTACTTATAAAATTTAAGACTTCAAAAATAGAGTAGATAGAGCAGATCTATGAAAACTTGAAAATCTTGAAAATTGACGGTCCAAAAATACGTACAAGATGTACTATTTCCAAAACTTGAAATTAGTCTCGTAGTGTAAAATCTCATACTTTATACCACACTGTTAAACCAGGCATTAGTTTTGTGCACCCACCCCCAAGTTAATTTTTTGAACCAAAATACCCTACATTTCTAAAATATGATGCCTAACATGTGCCAATTCTGCATGGCACAAAAATGTATACGGCCGGCTTGTTGCCAGTCGGGCACAAAATGTGTCGAACTGGCTTCTAAAAGGAGTGTCGGTTTGATACAATATGCTAGAGTGGCTTTTGATATTAAAATTCTACTAATTCGATACAAAATATATCGGACCGGCTTATATTGAAATTGTGCCAGTCTGGTAGAAAATGTGCTAGCCAGACAAGCTGAGAGAGAGAGAGAGAGAGAGAGAGAGAGAGAGAAAGAGAGGGAAATGTGGGGTTAAAATGAGAGTATTTTGATCCAAAAAAATCAATATTTGAAGAGGTCAAATGATCTCAATTACTATTTGAGGAATTATTCCTTCTTTTTATTTCATTTAGATATCTCTTCAAAAAAATTAAAATAATTCAAATTGCCCTTGTTTAGAATTGGAAAGCAAGAACAATAAGGGGACGTTTGGGTACCTGGAAATATATTGTCTATGAAATATATTACTGGCGTAATACATTACATGCAAATAGATTGTTACTATTTGGATAGTATTTAGATGCAATTTGGGAAATACATTGCTCTTACTTGACACGGATTAATATGGATTTGTCTACAGTGCACCTTAAATTTGCTCTTGCTGTCACTAGCCATAGCGATTTAATATGGAATTGTCTACAAATAGACCGTTTATCTTTTGTACACACAATCATTCTTGTCCTTTAAATTTCAAAATGGTTAATTGTACTGGTGTCATTGAATAAATACAAAATTTCAAAAAAAAAAAAATTCACGTCATGACTTACCTCAAGCCACCCAATTTAACATCTAATATTTGAGAATGATTGCGACCTCCATTCACAAAAGATAAATGTTCTCTTTGTAGACATTTCTATTTAATATTGAAATGCATATGTGTAGATAGCATGACTACACCATGTTTGTCATGTCTCAAATAATAATAACTTAATAGTGTGAATTAATATTGGTCACAAACATTGAGTGAACTATTTTAGTCACAATATTTAAATATCATTAATTTGTAGTTTAAATAGTAAATGGTGATTGTTTGAAGATATTTTTCAGCACCTTGGTCCCTCGGTCAATAAAGCCTGACAAAATAGTGGAATTTCGACAGTCTCATAATAGCCTCATAACTGGTCAACCATAAGGACTCTCAAAAGTCTCATGTCAAGTTTTTTCGCATTATGACATGTTTAAGGCTGAGAAGCATTTTTGGCAGAATCAACCTCTAGCACCCTGAAATGGACCCTATAACTGGAGCTATATTATTGGCGTGTCAATTTACTCTAGGACTACTGCCATTGAATTCATCACTGTTGAAAACACTGAGGGGTCAAATTTCAGCTTGAACAGGCATCCCAGAAAGAAGTTATAGGTGAAAGAGCGAAACAGGAGGAGCCGCACGCTATTCCCGTGAGGCCACCCTACAACTCAACTCCATTAAAGGGGCAGTCACGACCAGTAAATTTCGACGCTTATATCTCCCTCGTCCAAGATTGGCCATGTTCAAACTTGATGGAGCATGTTCGTATCGTCAAGACGAGCGTTTCGATATGTGGCATGCCCCACGACGACGCTCAAGCGCGAAGAAAAACTAGAGAGAAGCTGCTGATCCGTGGAAAAAGTGCAGGAACATCAGCAGCGCCATGCCTCACTCGAGCAGCCAAATCATTCCATTCACAGGCCCGATTGACGTGAAACCAATTCCATCGCGTGTGTAAGTTCTAGGGCTATCTGTAATTCGAACCCCGTACATGATAAACGGTCGGATTACATATACAAAGCCGACAAAGTGACTAGAAATTCTAGGTTCGGCCAAA